TTCCCTAACTTGGGCGAAATCCGGAGGAACGTTTTGGCTACGGAACATCGGGGCCGTTGCCGACGACCTGGAAGTTGGACGTTGGGGCTACGTGGAGCAGGGCCGCATCATCCTTGAATTACGGAGTAGTAGTAGTTTATTCCTCCGTAGTTTTAACGACCCTTCACAAGCTAGTTATCCGATGGAGTAATCACGGATGAATTCTCGGCTGTGCGACCAGGGGATTGTTTTCTACTAGAACCACGATCGGTGTTACGCTGGTGATAGATAGTGTGGACGATCAGGTCGAAGTCGCGGGGAAGTTCCGAGCGGTTTAAAGGAATATCCAGCAATTCCTGGGTCAATGATCTTCCGAAGGGTTCTCGTGGGGGGCATTAAGCCCGGCGAGGACGTTCCATGGTTCTGAACCTGTCTGTCAAAAGACCTAAAAGTTCGTCGGTCTGATTTGACACCTATCACCGTAGAATTCAAAATCCAATCTGTGCTGGACAGTTCATCAACAACACGACATCGGAAGAAGAACCCGAGATGGAAAATCGAGTAAGAGGAAAAGGACTGTAGTGAAGAAAGAAAGAATAAGCCGAGTCTCCACCGCGGATACCGCGCATGGACTCTGGAACAAATCTCGAAGGAAATCCGTCAGGTTGCCATTGGTTTTTCTTTCCTAATTTATTTCTTTCCCTCCCAGGCTTCCACTCCATTGGGCCGCACGAGGCGACTAGAATTTTTCTGGCGGAAATCGAAACGACTAGGCGGAAAATCATCCCCCAGCTAGAACTCCCACTAAGGTACTACTGAATAACTATCGTCGCTACTATCGTTACCGATGAAAATCCATCGGTCGGGACTTGCCCGGTTTTAGACCGCTAGACGGATCAGGATTCAAGGAAATGGATTGCAATGCGCGGTGTGAGGGAGAGAGTGTGCTGTCCTCTGTCAATCGCATAGAAATGTCTGTCACTTGGTCGAACAGGACAGGTTTAGGGCATGGTTCAGATACAGGCGGTGACTGATGTCCCCCCTCGAGATAGACATACAGGGTACAGCTCGACATACATCCGCCCGCCGTATTATGTATGCACGTTCACCGCGAGGATGTCAAACATCGAAGCGGTGTGCTTCCATGCGCGATCTGATTCGACTCCCCTCCATCCGCCACTCGGTTGGGGATGGGGAGGACACTTCAATAATGTTACGACTATCTCCTCTCTACCCAGGTTGGAGACAGGAGCACGGACAACTGTCTCGACAGCAGACCGCAAGAATCCGTTTCAGATGCACGAGAGCCCAAAATATATCCTTCTATCGGCGGCAGTTGGTAAAATGATCGTTGATCGTGTTGTCTCGCGTAATCCAAGAAATATGGTGTCTGACCACCTTCAGCTGTTTCTCACGGTACCGCAACCAGTTGGGGGGGTCTGATACGGAGTCATCCGAGTCATCATCGCAAAGAACATATGATGAAGGATTGGATTACGATGACGGTGAAGAATTCCTCCGAAATAATTCCAGGCCCAGAAAGCAAGTACCGAGAAATCGTCGAGGGTTGGGAGGGTACGCGGGTTTATTCTTCCTTAGTCGGGTAACACTTACGGGTAATAATACTCGAAAAAGATCAATAAATAATAAAAATAATAAAATTACCCAGTTTGACTCACTCCTTGACGGTTTTTTTGATCCCCACGTCCCCCTAACCCGATGTTCCCCGGGCCGCGGGCCGATGCTGAAAGAAAAATACATTTGATTGATTGATTTAATCAAATGCATCCGGAGGACTGGAACAAAAACAAATTCAAATAAGAAAAGCGATAGATCCACGTCCGCTGACCGGGATCTGCTGTCCGATTGTTAGAATCTCTCTCTCTCTCTCTCACTCACTCACTCACTCAGACACCCTCGCAGCTCTTTGTCCAAAAGGATTTGGTGGTGGTACTTCTTTTCTTTGACTGATCAATTCTGGATGCTTCATTATTCTGGAATTGAATCCAGCAAAGATACGAAAATAATTCAAATCACATCACATCAATCGATCAATGAACAGATCAATGATTCAGCCAGGCTTGGATCGCCCTATCTGTCCAACTCACCAGGTCATCTTTCAACCCGCACCAGTCGATTCTTCATACATAATACATCGTACAGCTGCCGGCACGCCGCTTCCGCCTGATCGTCGCGGTTGACTCGCAGTTTGTCAGTTGGGTACTGGCCAGCATTACGGAATCTTCTCTGTGTTTGAGGAATTCTCGACCGGTATTTTTGTCTGGCGATCATTTTACTCACCTGTTGGTTGTGGGGCCTGCATATTTTATTTATTATTATTATTATTATTTTTTTTTTTTCCCCCCCTGGAAAGTTAAAATCAATCGATTATTTTTATTTTTATTTTTGATTTCCGATTTATGATTTTTGAATTTATGAATTTTTCTTTTTAAGAAAAAATACGCATCACACCAACCCCCCGCGACGCCTTATCTGTTGGGATATGCAAGGGAGTCCAGACGCTTCCCCGATCGATCTGGACCCATACATATACATATCTCCTTTCCTTCACCACAACTTTGACCCCATTCACTCAAATATTGGTGTCAGAGCTTATTACTATTTACACCCTCCCATTCCTCCCTTCCTCCCTTCTGGGTCCCTTCCCCAGACTTGTCGATCTTCTTCACCTTTATTATCTTCTGTTGCTCCCCCCCCAAAGGGAATCTCTCGTCAGCAACATACTCCTCTCCACTCTCCACTCTACCATACTGGAGCTCAACCCACTGTTATAGTGGCATCTAACCTCATCTCATCCATCCACTCTTCACACACACACACACACACACACACAATGAAGCACACCAAATCATCAGCGATACCAATGTTTCCACTTCAGGCCTGGAGTGGTAACGCGGCCAGTCTCAGATCCTCCCCCAGTGAGGCATCAACCAACACCGACCCGGTCGCCTTCAGCTTCGATACGACTTGGGATGGTGGCTCACCCATTTCCACCTCGGCAGCCCCTTCATCAACTCCCCAGGACTCTCTGCTCGATATTACACCTCGCAAGTGCTCCTTCTCGACAGCATTTGGCATGAGCAATGCTTGTGCTTTTCCCTCTTGGCCCAACCGGCCTGCCTTGATCAGCACGGATACCGATGTCTCTACTGGAAGCGCCTACATCTCGGACGAGGATCTATGCTTCGACTTGACCCCCCAGTCCGAATTCGCGGTGGAAGAAGAGTCGGCCGTGCAGGAGTCCGTCCGACCTGGTGACCTGACGACTGAACAGCAGATTCAGATGTTACGCGCCGCCGCTGAAGAGGAAGCTCAACGCGCTCGTTTCCTGGCCCAGGTCCAGGCGCATGCGCGGGCTCAGCAAGCCATGCGGGTGGCACAGCTGGCGACACAGGAGAAGGAAAATGCGAAGCGCAAGAAACGCCAGGCTATGCCCCAGAAGAAGCGACGGGCTCCGTCGGCCACGAAGGTGGTGATTCGTGCCTAGAGCTGTCAAATTCGCCTTGTATCAACATTTTTTTTTAACTGTTTATCGATACCCCGCCTGTCGGGTCGCCCCACGTTGTCTTCTCTGGTTTGTTAGCGCAGCACTGTCGAACGATCGACAGAACATGGACTTTTCCAGACTTTTCCGAATTTGCGGTCAGTGATTCAGCCGCTTTTTCTCTGGTGTCGAGGAACCAATGGGAGGGACAGCCCTCTTCTAGCCCAAAACAAAGCGAGTTCGCACCATCAAAGCGCGCAGCAACAGAATCCGAAGTGTTTTCGCCAGAACATCTGATGACTGATGGACAGACTGCACGTGCCTCGCCTCGACGGAAGGGCAGCGCTGGTTGGCTGCCCGTGGGGGTTACGCGCCGCAGCCGGACAGAATTTCCAAACCCACCGCCCACGGAGTTACATGCCCGATTCGCTGCCTGATTTTCCTTTGGCGTCGCTTCGATTACTTAATAACTCGTCGCTGTCGGCGCATCACGGCGAAAATTGATGGTCAGAATAAAATGACTTTCGCTTTTTCGCCTTTCCCCTCTTCGGCGCCTCTTCAGTCGGCTGCACGTTGGACAGGGTCCCGCGCCTATCATCTTAGCTGGTCATCTCACCGCTACTGTCTGATGCCCTTCGGATCTTATCTCTCTTGACACCATCACTATTCTTATGACTCACTCACCGGAAATGATGCTGGGCCAAGGGTCCTGGCCCTGATTGTGTTGCTCGTTGTCCGAGCTTTCCTGTGACCCCCTCCTGACGTTTGTTTTCATTGCGTTTCCCCTCTGCGATGGGCGTTGTGGTTGACATCATCCATGGTAGCGCCTTGGTTTTTCTTTATCCATTTCGGAACTCTTCTCATGCTCGTTCAGCCTGCAGTTCAGGATTTCACAGCACTGTCCGTTGTATTTTTTCCTTTCTATCGTTCTTCCTACACACCAACTTAATACCCTTTCTTCCTGAATATTTTCTAGCGTCGATCCAATGTTTTCAGATACCCAGTCGTGTACCTAATGTTGCGTGTTTGTGTCATTTTTCATACCCCGAGCGTGTTACACAAACAGCTCCCGCGTCGGCTTTTTCCACGGTTTGCATTTGCATAGCTCAGCGACATACCCTTTTCTTCTCTGATGACCCTTAGCGCCCATGGTTGTATCGTTTTATCTAGGTAATGGCATGTGAATACGAGATAGTACTGAATCTGGCTTCCTGACTTTTGTAGTAACAGACGTAGTTCGTGATTGGCATTTGATTGTAATTCAGACCATCGTCTCTTGTGATCAGACCGTAGATATCGACAATCGAACCGAAGGCCCAAGCTCTCCGGAGTATGACAGCCAGAAAAAGAAACAGTAAAAAAAGGTAAGAGTAAAATGAATCCAAGAAAAACACCCCCAATCCACAGCAGTAAACACATAAACACCAATCCCAACAATCCACCCTAATACATATCTACAAGTCTATCTTCAACCAAACCAGCCAAACCAACCAAACCAACAACAACAAAGATAAATCCCCAAACAAGCCTTCTCTACTCTAGACTCCAGACTCTAGACTCTCTACTCATACTCCGTACATGGTACATAGTACATAGTACACCGTCCACAATACTCAAGAAAACCCCACCAACCCCGCCACCTCCCCAATCAACCCCTCCAACAACTTCACCATCTCCCCTCCTCCCCCAAACAACAACTCTCCCTTCCCCTTCTTCCCAAGTACAACCTCCCTAGCCCCCAAAACCCGACAAACCTCCTCCACCTCCCCACCCACAGCACACTCATAAACCACCAATCCCAACGCCATCAAAAACCCCCTCAACGCCTCCCCACTCTCCTCTTCGTTCGCGATCGCCTCGATCAACCCCGCCACCAGCGAAACCTGGTCCTCCTCGGAGATGAGGTCCCCCTTCCCGTCGATCCGGGAGTTATGGTTCTGGGCGGTGAGGTTGTAGGCGAGGGAGGCGGCAGCGCACCGGATTTTCGGGCTGCTGTGGAAGAGGGAGGAGGTGAGGGTGGATAGGGTGCTTGTGAGGAGGGAGGGGGTGGAGAGGATCGTGGTTGTTGGGAGGTGAGGGGAGGTGAGGAGGAGGTTTGTGAGGAGGTGGAGGGTGGTTAGGGTTTTAGTGTAAGCCGATTTAGATTCCTGGGGGGGTTCTTCCTTTTGCAATAGAAGGGATAAGAGTGTAGAAGGGGGGGTGTGGGAGGAGAAGAAATATGAGGCGACTCTGGGGTCGAGGGTTAGGAGTCTTGTTAGGTCTATGATTGCGAAGTGAGCGTCACTGGGCGTTTCCTTGAGGAGGGATTCGATGTAAGTTGGGTATGTTGGGAGGTCTGGGGGTAAGGGGGATTCTCGTGGATCGTTGGATTTGATCGAGTTGGTTATGAAGGTTGTGATCGAGGTGAGGGTGTTGTTGGGTTGGGTTTCCCGGGGTAGTTTCTGGAGTAGTTTGTCCAGGGGTGGTATGTTCTTGTAGTGGATGAATGATGAGGCAGGGATGGGGCGTTGGAAGGTCGGAAGGTTGAGTTTGCGGTGCGGATGTGCTGGATTGGCCATTTCGATGAGCAGTCTGATGTTGCCCTGGAGTTGGGATGCGTTTGCACCGCTCCAGGTCTCTGTTTCCTGGCCCTTTAGGTAGGTCTTGAATGTTGGGGTGGCCTTGATGCCGTATTTCATGGCCACGTCGTAGGCACTGCTGATGTCTACTTTGATCAGCGTGGCCTTGGATCCTGCTTCTTCGGCTAGTTCGTCGTACAGCGGGTAGAGGGCTTTGCAGGGCGGACAGGTGGCGGAGGTGAAGAAGATGATTGCGGCGGAGTGGCGGGCCTGGTTGAGTTCGTGGTTGAGTTGCGTGAGGTTGGTGACGTGGTGGACTTTGTTCGGCGATTGTACTTGTGCTTGTGCTTGTGTTGGAGTTTGGGTTGGTACGCCGGTGCTGGGGGCCTGGGTGACGGGGCGCAGGGCGGCTTCGATTTGCGGCTTGATCATCTGGCCGAAGGGCGTGCTGAGGAAGGTCTGGGGCAGGTTGCGGATGTGATCTGGGATACTCTTGCCCAGGAGGAACATGGCGAGGTCCTGGGTGAAGTTGTTGCAGTTGTGGAGGAAGAGGTCGTAGGACTGGGGGTTGTATGTTAGTTGTGGTTGGTTTGTGGTTTGTAGAGAGGGTTTCGTGGCTTGCCTCTGGGGTGTAGATTTCTCCCAGTGACTCGATATACTCGGATATCACATCTGGGGGCAGTTCTGTCTGGCCGAGATGGACTTTCTCCATGGGCTGTCCATGGTGTGTGCTCCCCGGGTAGGCTGTTTGGATGCCATGGCCAAAGTAGTATTCCACGCCGTTGAGCACGATGGCGGTGTGGTAGATGGCATCAATGTGCGTTCCCGTTAGGGGAAGGGACCACTGAACTACGTTAGATCTTGGTCCTTGTCCTCTGTGACGGTACGAGTTGGACGTACCTGGCGGGCGAGACCCTGTTGCATGTTAGCCAATGAGCTTGTGGTTTTCTAGAGATTGGGAGTACCTTGGAGAGGTCGTAGACGTACAGCTCTACGTCCATGGTATGGGTTGCTGTTGGAGTTGGTCTGATAACTGAACTTTGCCTACGGAGTGTAATACAGTCGATGATGGAGAAATTCACGAAGGTGTCTGGGGACAATGTAGGGTATATAAAGTCAGGCCGTTGACTCGATTGGGAAATGTAGGCATATTTTGGGTTACGTCAGCAGGGCCAGGCAGTCACGGGAATGCGTCGATTGTTCGGTGATCTTCGATTCAGGACCATGACTGGATTGACTTTAGTATACTATTGCTATACAGAGAATCTCATGTCTTTATTATTCAAGTTGCTTTAGCAAACACTTACATAAACACCACGTAGCCGCGCCAGCATACCTCCATGTATATACTCCGTAGAACTGGAAGCCCAGCGCATACTCCGTATAGATTAAATAACCCAACCAAAGACCCTCACTCTCCGCCTTAACCTGCGCATCAAACCATCCCGCCACCAACAACCGCAACGTCTAACTGACACACCGCAACACCAACAAGGGGAGATGGTACGTTCCCCCCCCCCCAATCGCAAACCAACCCGTAATCCAGAAACACCCACTAACCAGATTCTCATTCCTTCCAGCCTCCCAAAAAGCGCAGCGCACCCTCCGCGCCCAAGAAAGCGCGACAATCCAAACTCGCCAAAGCGCACGACATCAGTGCCACCGAAGAAAACGAGATCAAAGAAGTCTTCCAGCTGTTCGCGACCAGCGCCGCAGACTTCCCGAACGAGAAAGAAGGCGTGATTGCACGAGAAGATGTCCGGAAGGCGCTTGTGTATGTCTCCCCCCTCTCTCCCTCCGTCCTGCCCGCCACTCCTGCGCCGATGGCTACTCTTGCGCCGGATGAAATATATGTTGTATGGTATTGACCGAGGGATAATAATAAAGAGCGCTGGGCCTTGCGCCGGCTGATTCGCGAGAGCTACATGATATTCTGGCTGCGGTGGACCCTACGGCGACGGGGTATGTGCTCTATGAACCGTTTGTGGCTGTTGCGGCGGCGAAGCTACGGTCTCGCGATGAGGATGCGATGGTTGCCGAGGTGGATGCTGCTTATCAGTTGTTTACGCGGAATACGGATGGGCCGATTACGTTGGGGCATTTGAGGCGCATTGCGCGTGAGTTGAAGGAGGATGGGTTGGGGGATGATTTGCTACGCGATATGATTTTGGAGGCGAATGGAGGTGCGGGCATTGAGGCTGGAGTGAGCTTGGAACAGTTTCATGATGTTATGACACGGGCTGGCGTTTTTTAGATATTGGGTTTTGGTTTTGGTTTTGGGGGTTGGTGTTGGGGTAGGCGTTGGTTTCGTTGGGTTTATTTTGTGGGCAGGCCTTTCAATGGATCGTGTACATACTTTATGGGTGGAATATAGTATTGGTTTTGAGGTATGCGCTCGAGAATGGCGGTGTTTTGGGTATCTGAAGACCTTATGTGACTGGAAGGGACTGGTGGGTATGTTTCTGGAGATGTTAAAGTCTGCGTGGATTGTGGAGTTATTGATGTTAACTACTGTAAGTATGAACGAGATAACATTGTTATTGACCTTAGCAATGTCTGTTCGGTTGATGTAGAGTGCGTCCGGTCTATACCTGTCCAAAACCATATCCACATAAAAATACAAAACCAATGCAATGTAACGCCTTTAGTGGGACTGGGGTATCATAATAGTGATGTACACAGTTGCTAGCGTCCGCAATCGAGCGGACCATGCTGAATATAACAATATGTAAGGCATTAGACTCAATCAACATCCGACACGGGCCGTGCATTCTCCAGTGGAAGCTCGGCCTTTTCAGGCGTGGACACACTTGTGGCTTGAGATGTTCGCGTGTCGTCGGTGGCCGCGGAAGTTGTCGACATGTCCTCCGATGTCGATACCGAGTTCTCCACTTCTGCAAGATCCGGCTCGCCAGTTTCAGCGGGGAGAGAAGATGGATCCACGGCTTCATAAAAGAGCATGAAAGCTCCGCCCTGCGCCATAACGTTGGATTCGCTGACCATTTGCACATCCTCGTCACTCAGCCGGAACCAGCGCTCAGTGGTCTGCTTCTCACCGTCTTGCTCAACGACTGACTCCGGAACCTCGGCGGGGAATGTTTCGGAAGAGTACTTTCTATAACATATGTAGTGACCGTTCTCATGACGGCCGTAGTGCGTGATTACCGCTCGTAATTCATACAGTTGTCCATGGGCTGCGATCTTGTCGGCTGGTGCGAGCATCGTCTTCCTCGGATCCATGTCCCACGTCTCGTAATTTTGACCCGCCTGGCCGGCGGCTGCTCCTAGGCACCACTCACCCATATCAAGGATCTTCGGAAACTTCAGAGCGGCGTAGTTCTTTCGAAGCATTCCCGTCATTTCATCAAACAAACTTCGGTTGATGTGGACAACAAGGCACTTTGGCGGTCTTGCAATCACAGCTTGTCTGGATTTCGTGGAGGAAACACGGTTCTTTGAAGGGATATTGCACTTCTTAGAGAGAGTCTTCTCCGCAAAATCCTCTTCCTCGAGGGCCTCCTCGACAGCCTTCAATCTTTCCTGCGCCGAATTCTTCAGCGCTTCGGATACACTCGACGAATCGGGCGTGTTCGAAAGCGACTTATCTTCTTCGATTTGTTTAAGTAGATTCTGGAGTTGTTTTTGAGCGTGTAACAAAGTACATTTCGCACACTCCACCCCTTCAATAGGTTCTAACTCCATATAGTCCTGGAGGCAATCACGAACATCATGCTCGTAGCCCGCCCCAAGCGGTACCGTCAGGCAATTGAATGGAATAAGGGACAAGCCCTCGGTCCAACCACATTGCATGCAGCCCACTCGCTGTGCGAGGAGACCTTCCAATGGGTTCCCGAAGGAACGTATTTCGGCGATCCGAGCCCCGACGGAGGCGTCCGAATTTGTTCCCTGTTGTGTAGATCCAGCCCCAATAACATTTTCCTGTGGGCTTGCCACCTTCAACCCGAGGTTTCGGGTCTGTTTCCGTGTAGCCTGCTGTATCTCGTAGTCTATCTGATCGACAACCTTCGAAAAATATTCCTGCGCGTCTTGTTGCTGCCAGCTGCTCATCGACTTCAGATCCGCCGGCGTCCATAATCGCTGCCCATAACTGTCGGGGCTATTCAGCCGTTCTATGATGCCCTTGAGCGCCTGATGTGTCGAGAATACCCCCTTCGCCCCGAATAAATCGATGTTCCGTTCCAAGAACGCCGCTAGCGACTCCAGCGAAGCGAACCCTTGTATAATGCTGTTCTGATAACACGAGTTGTCCCAGTTCCCTAGACCCGGAGGGAGGCTGTCTTTGTTGCCGAGAAGTGCAGTGCCGAAGCCCGGGAGTGTTGGAGCTCGAGGAAGGAGGGAGGATAATGAGGAGTTATCGAGCCCGAGGATCCGTTTCATCGCTTCGCCCTTGGCTTCGAAAGTCATCGGACCGGCACTTTCCTCGATCAGGGTTGAGTTTGCTTTTTTGTCCAGGGCGGCGACTACTCTGGACGGCGTCATGTAGACGATGACGTCCCACAATCCTCGGGCTACCGTGGCCGGAATCGACCCAGACTGAGTCAAGGCAACGAAAACGAGTATCGCGATCGCTAGGGTGGAGGCTATGCTTGGGTGGTCTTGTAGATACTGAAATACCGTGTCATAGTGACTATTTTTTGCGTGGTTCAAGGGACTCTGAGTGAGGACACCGTTCGCCCCTCTATGAGAGTGCATGGTTGAGTGAGAAATCTGGGAGGTCACGGCATAGAGACAACGGTCGAATACTCATGAAGACGGGTAAAAGAATGAATATGAATTTGTATATCTCAAGTATAGATTGATGATATTTGGACTGTTTGCCTGTCGGAGTTTAATAAGCGCCGCCGGCTTCACTTCTGGTTTCTGTGGCTACCCGAACTTGTTATCGATAGCGATTATCGTCTCCACTGAAAATATTCTACGGCTGTGATAAAAACACAAATTTTCCGGTTCTCACCAAAATGGCTAAAGCAAGAGGTACGTGGAGATTATGCAGGAGAGAAATGAGGTTACTAAGTTAATGTCTGTCTACAGTCCAGTCAAAGCACTCTCGTGCGGCCCGCCGGGCAGCATCGCCGAGTCTCGACGTCGACAAGACCTTGACCACCCTTCCCCGTGCCGAAGATACCGTGATACAGCGTGAATCCATCCTTTCCGATCGCGCAAATGCCGGTGTCTCAAAGAAGAAGTCGAAAACCAAGGGCCTAACAAAGGCGCAGCGTGCCAGGCAGCAGAAGGGTATCGAAAGAGCAGAGAATATCATGGATCAACTGGAGGCGAAAGTGGAGAAAAGTGTTAAGCGGGGGAAAACTGTGAAAGCACGTAGGGTATGGACAAAATGATTCTATCAAGGCCATTTCATTGATACTGACAATGTGGGCTGCCAGGCTGAGTGGGAAGACCTGAATCGCAAGTCGGGAGCGACCATGTTTCAGAACCTCAACGACGAGGCCGACAATGACGACGATGACGCTATGGCTGATGTTTCCGCAGCTCCTAAGAAAACGAAGCCGCAGCCGCAGCCAACACACGTGGCTCAAAACATAGTGGCAGACCAACACGCAGATATTGACGTGGACGATGATATCAGCTGAGATGTCACAGCGACAGTGCAAAGGAGATACCAGGCTGGTCACGCCAACTATTTCCTTGGCCTAAGCTGGTTGATCATTCGATCAATATCAGCGACAGCTGGCCCCGAAGCTCTCGTCCGGAGGAGCTCCAGGGTATTGAAGTCCTTGGCTTTGAAGGCCTCCTCCCCGGCTTTCACGATCATTCCACATTTCACCCACATTTCCACCTTGTCTTCGACTGGTAAATTGGTGCATTTGGGGACAAAAAACGAAGCGAGTTTCGTGTTTCCAGCACCTAGTATCTCGTTATAGAAAGGCTGTCAACTTGTGTCAGCACGTGCATGCATACAACTGAAGCTGGTTACGAATTGGCTCACCTCCCATCCGATCGGGGATTTCTTGTTTCTGCCGATCTCTTCCAACTCACCCCAGTCTCGTTTGGCAACTAGAGCCCTTAGTCTAAGCCACCAATATGTCTTATCTGGCATCTTAAATTCACTCTGAAGCTTCTGTGCTCTCTTGCCGTAGCCCGATCGGATCAGTCTGTAAATAGTCTCGTTCAAGCTTAGACCCACAAACTCAGACCGATCTGCAATATCCTTGTCCAAGGCTTCCTGAACCTTCAACAACTGCGACGCTTCGGAAAGAAGTTTTTGCTGCAAGACTACGGTCGCGTCTTTAGAGTCGACTAATAATCGAGTGGCAAGCTGCAGCTTCTCAGTTTTGTTTGGCAACTCTGTCTGACTCAATGCTTCTGAGAGGAGCACATTCGAGCCGTCGATCGGACGGTCGTCTTGGTAGTAGAGGTCTTTTAGTAGTTCGGTATCGTCACTTCGAGCAGTCGTTTCCACAAGGGCAGAAGCCATAGGCCGGGTGTTAATCATTCTGAAGAAGCTGGCCAGGGGGAGTTTGCTCTTGAGGCGTAAAAGCACATAGTTTACTAGGTCATTATCCCCGCTTTCGATGGCCTTATCAAGGGCAATTTCATCCTCCTCCATGTTCAGAAGTAACGGAACCTGCTTGCCGGCCCGCGGCTCGTGGTTCAGCAGCTGCGTGGCCAGATTAGCACGCCCTTCATCATAAGCGGCTTGTGCGATCTGTTCGAACGATATCCCCGGCTTGCCGTCCAATCTTTGCACGATAAGCTTACAGACAGCTTCGTCGTCAACGGTTGAGACCTTAACCTTTTGGCTTGCCCAATGAACGTAGATTCTGTCAGCAGGAATCTGGAGATATTCCGAGATTTTAATGGCAAGTAGATATTCATGTCTGTTCACCAAGCGTTCGATAAGTTTCTCCGGAGTCAGCCGCATGTATTGATCGTATGAGATTGGGAGCCCAATCTGGTAGTCCCTAACTGCTTTAAGAACTCGAAGTTTCTCGGTCATTTCCACAAAGTCGTCACTATTGTACAAATCCAGAACAGATTTTCCGAATGACGCAGCTTTCAACAATCTCTTCTGCCAATATGCGTCGAACTCGTGGCCCGCGGCCCTAACACAGGTGTCAACGGCTTCTGGTAAACTTGATCGGATCCGCTGGATGTTCTCGTCGGCCTTAGGAGACTTTTTTTCCAGCAAGTCAATTGAGTCCAGCAGGACTGAGGCAGGGGAGGTCGATCCGAGGCGGAAGATCGCCTCCGTTACGTCTGGATTGATTATTAATTGATGAGGAAACAGATCTTGTAAGCAAACATACCTGTCACTTTATGCAAAAACTCGCATGTGTCATGCGTGATCAATCGCACGCCATCAAACTCGGGGACAACGTGGACAATGCCGTCATAGTAGTAGCTTAATTTGTTAAAAGAGCGTAGGCTTCCGGATACGATAGACAACTCACCGAGCGGCAACACCGTTGGGACCAATCAAGTGCACTTCATCTTCCCACGCGATGACAACAGCATCATCGCCACACCAGTCAACCGTCCGGGGAGTTACGCGAGATTCGGGGTCATATTCGCTATACTTGCTCTGGAAGTCACTACTGACTACCCATACTTTGCCTTCCGCCGTAATGAGTGCCACGAATCTTCCGGTTGGCGACACGCTGGCATGCTTAAAAGGGCCATTTTGAAGCACTTTGTCCTCTGCTTCCGTGGGATCAATCAGGTAGACAGTCTTGTCAACAGCTAGTAGTACCTCGACTGAGCGCGACAACGTAAAGGCAGGTGGGATCAAAGACCACGATGAAACCTCCCCTTCAGGACAATGAGCTAGGAGCTTCGGTCGAGGCTCGTCATAGTTAGACACAGCTATCAGCTGGTTATTTGAGAGCAGAGCAACGAAGCCGGACGTCCAAAAGCGACAAGCTCTGACGCCATATTCTTCCGCCCCCTACGTATATTAGTGCCGAAAATAGTACATATAGGTTTCGAAAGCCTACGTTTCCAAGAGAAAATGAAGTGAAATCTCCATACAGTCCAAAATAGCGTCGCACGGTACCGTCTTCCGTGATCACTAACATCTCTTCTTTGTCGGACCAGCCGAGCCCTCGGATAGTACCATGTTCCCACTGGAAATGTTAGAGTTAGTAGCACCATTGAGTTGAATAGTTAACTAACATTAAGTCGATTAATCAGCTTTCCCGAGGAGGAGTAGATACCAATGCTCGACTTGGCGGTCTGAGCATCACGGAACCTGTATGGCTTGGTATCATCGCGATGCAACGCTATTGTTTGTAAGCATCGACTCAAAAAGGTGTATAACGATAGATACTCGTACCTAAAGCCCCTCCGTATGGCGCGCCTGCAACGATGTAGTTCTCTAGTTCGACATCTTCATCGAAGATAGCGTCGTATATCGGGACTTTCCTATAGAAACTATCACCCAGCTTCTCCCAGTTCGCTAGCGGATTTGACGGCGCCATTGATACTGGCAGATAATTCTATGAACAGAGACCGCGCCAACCGAAGAGAGCGATCAAAGCTGCGATGAGCCTTGTTTGGCGGTCGTTCATCGGGAAGCTCCCAGCTCACATGGGGTCTGGTAGGAGCTAAGCCTAGTTAGGCGTAGCGTCTTGGCTGTTCATCGGCCACTTATCAAGATTCAATATTTAGTGATACTGGAACATCAAGCATACGCGAGTAGGTATAATGGATGATCTAGCAGAAATATCCAGCCTGGTGCTGGAACTATCAGATCTTGAAGTGGCGCTTTATCTCTGTCTTGCTGCTAGCGAGCATTGTCGTATCGACGCTACAGCCGACAACATTAATGACGTTGCCAATGAGCTCGCCTTGGTAACTTGCTTCTTAATATATAGTGCTTCATGGTTCATCCACTGATGTTCCACCAGATATGTACACACACCTTCGACCTCACTTGTGTTACTGTTGACTGCTCGGACACAACAACACCGGACGAATTTTGCTCTGCCCTCATTCGTGCGAATGCTCGAAACTCGGCCGGTTCGAACAATGTGGAAAACAGAGCGGTTAACGTCGTAGTAGCCAAGAACTTCGACCACGCTGCTGACAGGATACAACTCCAAGCTCTTGAGGTGACTATAGCATCACGATGGAAGGTGTGACCTTGCTAACGTTCATAACAGCTGATGCGGTCTAAGAAACTCAATACACATAATGGCTTCCTTGAGGCTCCAGAACACTTCCTCTTCATACCGCTTGTTATGCGCAAGATAGAACATGATCAGCCAGTCTTAAACTTTCACTTGGTAGGTAGCCTGTTGCCAATGGTCCATGATCGGATAATGCTGATCAGTCAAGAATGACCATTTCATCATCTCCCACTTTCACGGTTCTAGGGACGACTTTATATACTTAGAAGAAAACAACGACTGGCTCTCTGACGGCCAGATGTCGGCATCGTCTGTTGTGCGCAAATTAGATGTACCACTGCACAAAGGACACCCAAGTATAGACCGGAAGGTAAGGCCAGGTTTCTGAACATCTGCTCAATACTCACCGATATATAGGCCTTGAACAAACTACAGAAGGCCAGTGACCGTGTAACTATGGGCGCGGATGTAGTTCGGTATCATCAAGACATCACTGTGTTTCTCCGTCTCAGTCGCGCAGTTGCTGGAGGCATATCTGCGCGATCCAACATCTATTTTAGGAAAATCTCAAAGTGTGTCCTCCACAAAGCTTCGATAGCATCGCTTAAACTAACCTAGATAGGTTGCTCGCTGCATTGCATGGAATTGATTATCTCACGCCATCGGTAGTAGCCTTAGCTGCGAAGAAGGTCTTCCGCCATCGAATTATGGTGGCCAAACCGGAAGATGACCGCAGTTTGCAGTATGGAAGTGACTTAAAAGCGGTAGCCCAAGTCCTATCTTATGCTACCCCCGATACTATCTTGGACAGTGTCTTGACACTGGAAGCTCCCTTATGAGCTTTGAAGTTGTACAACGATGCAAATCACATTTTCGACCGTCATGCGGTGTCTTAACCAACCGGAGTATGCAATATGTTACAGCGTACAATACTTGACACACCAAACCATACATCTAACGTCATGTCCGCCCCGCAAATGAAGATATATAATATACATGGACGCCCTTTCCATCGGACCCCCCCCACTAATGTAGCTGGAAGAGTGCCTCTATGACCATTCACCAATCAGTTAATCAAGGTCAAGCAGCTCGCTAGCCAAGTTCACAATTCCACCTAGTATATTGGACACCATATCCACCACACCTCCCAACAACGGAAACGTAACTGACAACAGACAATCCAGCGTATCCGTTACCTCATCCAACAATTCTTCCAATACTTCGTCAAGTGTGCACTTTTCTTCATCACCCCGCCTAGTACTTTGCAATACATCGTTTGCGCCCACGTTGGGCTCTTGACAGGTCGTCATCTTGCTCAAAACCTTTTCCTTGGATTGCTTGAGCCGCGCCTCTGCGGATTGGATTTGTTGGAGTTTATCGCTAAGACCTCTTTTATGGGTGGCGCCGGCGGTTCCATTTAGGGCGGGCGCCACTGCCTTGCCATTGCCCGCACTAATCTGAGAGAGCCTCTCAAGGATCGGGGAGACGTGGTGGAGGGTGCGGTTGACCCTTTCCAGGCTCTGACAACTGTTGAGACTAGCTCCCGGGGCTATCGAGTGGGCGTGGATGAGTGAAAGAATGCTTGAAAGGAAGACAAAGCAGAACAAAAGTGGCCGGTACATGGTGGCAATTTTTTGATGGGCAAATGAGCACAGAGTAGTGTTACACTGGTTGGAAGAGGAATTGTTGATTCTCCATGATCAATAAAAACCGAAGACCTGGCACTCTTGGCAGGAGAATAAGGGGGATCTACGCAGGGACACGAATTTTCAATTGATGCATCTATTGTGGTTCCAGAAAAAGAGAAAGTCTATTATGTCGGATCATCGATGATATCCTCGCGGCTTACCTTAAACGGCAAAGGTGCTCATTTCGCGTATTCCGGGAATGGAGCCGAAAAGGAGAGAGAGACCTCGATTATATCAGCGGCTATGAATCCCGTGACCCCACTGAGGGGGTGGGTCTCTGAATGTGGAGAGCATGTGAGCTGTCAACAAAAATTAACTCAACGGAGGAATTCCGATGGCATGAAGTCCGTTATGACTCAAGCTGGTCTAGCGCCAGGGTCCACGGGTTAATTACTGCTCATAACAATACTGGCGTTGTCACTTGTTGCCAAATTCAATAGGTTCAATAGTTTGTTAAAATTGATGTACGCTAATGCAGAACAATATTTAGGCTAGGTCATACTCCTTAATCAACTTCTCCGCGCATGTGGCTCCCGTCACATATGCCACGGCCTGAACGTGACAGTTGGCCAGCACGGGGACCACACTCATATCCGCCACGCGTAACCCGTCAATGCCCATGAAGCGGAAATCGTTGTCCACTGCGGCATCGGTATCGCCCTTCTTACCCATCTTGATGGTACCAGTCATGTGCCAACTGGATGAAATGTTCTGTTTCCAGTATTCCAAGAGATCTTCGTCAGAGTCGGACTTGGGACCAGCCAATTCCATGACATTATTCTTGGTATAGCCTTCACTCTTAGCAACGCGGAACGCATCCCGCAGAGACTCAATAGCAATGCGACGATCGAATGGATGAGACAGGAACTTCGGATCGAAAAGCAAGGGCACATTGGGATCCGACGATTGTAGAATGACTTCACCACGAGCCTGTGCGTTGAACAGGAACACAAGCAGGCAGGAGTAGTTCAGGGCCTCCTTGGCGAAATCTGGGATGAACCAGTGGATAGGGAAGTGGGTCAGAATTTCATAGTGCGGCACGGTCTCCTGCAGAAGATATTTCTGTTCTTCCTCGGGCAGCTTCTGGAATTCCTCGGAGGACGTGAGTTTGTCAAGCTTGAACCAGCCGATGCCCAATTCGCAGGCAAACCGTGACCATGGACCGCTTCCGTCCTTCTTCCATTGCTCAAGGGCCTCGGCCATGGCTTTCTCGTCGCCGTAGAACTCGCGGCGCTGGGTGCTATTCTCTACGCGAGTGTTTACGATCGGGACGAAAGTGTGGTCTCGTAGACCTTGGCCAATGACGGGAACATTGAGCTTGACGGGGATATTGAACTTCTCTAGCTGCTGTGCGGGGCCAATGCCCGAATGCATGAGGATGCGCGGACCTTCCAGAGACCCAGCGCACATGATAACCTCCTTTGAGGCGAGGTCTTCGCAAATGTTAGTCAGATATTGCTTGGTTGTATGTTGTACTACGTAGGTCTCCATGGTTGGATACCCTGTTTAAATCAAAGGGGGGTAAACTGAAATTGAACTCACACTTCTTCCCATTGGATTCAACCCCTACGGCCTTGTTGCCGTCGAATACGAGGCGCTGTACTGGAGCATCAGTGACAATAGTCAAGTTCTCCGGCTGTGGCTTCAATAGGTCCGCAGATGTTGACCGAACGCCCTTGTGAGCAGAGTTGATCAGAACAGACATCCCTATGGGATTGCCTGAGTTGTGGTCCGGGTTGAAAGGGAATCCTGCTTGCTCGAAGACATCCAAAAGCGGCGGCAGATCTTTCTCCCATTCCGAGGCGAACCCTACGTGAAGGCTGCCAGAGCTTCCGTGATCTTCCGCTCGGGGGGCTGCGTACTTCGCATCAACACCCGCAGGGAGATCGCCGTGAAAGGTCTCGAGGGATTTGAACCTGGACTGGATTTGGTTCCAGCGGAAGGCATCATCACCAACCACCCGTGCCCACTCTTCATAGTCGTCGCGGGCGCCTACAGTGTACACACCGAAGTTGATGGCGCTGGAGCCTCCCATGCCCCGCCCGCGGGAGTAATCAATCTCGCGGTTGTTACAGTGCTCTTGCGGCGTGGTCTTGTAGCCCCAGTTCATGTGTTTATTCTGGAAGGTCAGCCATCGCTGGCCGTCCACCCGCAGATCATGCTCAGCATTCAGGCCTCCGGCTTCCAGGAGAAGCACTTTGGGATGCTTCGGGGAATTGGCTAGCTGACTTGCCACCGTGCTGCCAGCCGGACCACCTAGTTATTTTAAGTTTCATTAGCGGGACTGTGGCAACCCCGTCCGTACCAGTGTTTTCTCACCTCCGATAACAATAAAGTCAGCCGCGGAATCCATATTGTTCTTCTTTTGTTCTGAAGTTGATCTCTCAAAGTCAATCGCGGGAGACAAATGAGGGGGGACACGATGTCTTCATAAGGGGGCCGGACTGCTAGCTGTTACTAGTGCGTCTTGGGGGTGATTGCTACTCCGGTAGAGGGGCCAAGCCAAAGCACGGGTAAAATGGTGACTGACCGCTCTGCTGGTCGTCGACTACGTGGTCCGTACGCCCGGCGTACGGACCAAGAGAAATTTAATCCGCATTAGCAGGCGTGTGAAGCATTTGCAATTTTGGTGGCCTTGTCAACTGGGGGTCCAGTCCTCAACGGTGGTGTGTCCGGCAGGGATCAACAGTTCCGGCGTTTGGAGCGACGTCCAATGGAGAATGGCGATATGCCCTAACTCGCAAGGTTAGCGGGTCCATGTAAGAGCCTAATCTCCCGCTAATGTCTAATCATAGTACTTGGGGTATGGCGACCACCCACTTTATGGTTTAAGCTCCAAATCCACGTACGACAACCGAGGCCCTAGTGCTGCGTCAGGACGGATACGGATTTCAAACTAAGTAGTTTTAAGTCGTGTCCAGACTCCACAGCTCTCTCAGGGGGTGGATCTATGAAGGTACCGAATTACAGGCCTTTCTACTGTCCGACGATGGAGCCTTCTTGCCACACTAACTGAAACGGGCTGCTTCAGTTCACGTTAGGGTGATGTTCGTCGATTCTACCCCTCGGATCATTGCCTCTTTAGGAGATACGTTGGATATCGTCTCGTCCGCGGACGACGGAAGGACAGGATGTCCCGGTGAGGTGGTCGTGTTCTAACCTTGATTAGCATTACATTAGCTCCATACATATCTTGGCGTTCAAATTTCCAGTGCAAATCCCTCATGCCGCCAGTGGATCCCAGGTACCCGGAACCGTGTGAAGGAATCCTTCAAAGCGGTACTTTGAGAGTTTTTCATTTCTTTTCCTGTCACCAAAGCACATTAGGCCCCGTTCCTAAAATGGTACCCCTTCCCAGTAACCCTGAAAGCGGGACTTAGCGCATGCAGTTCTTATACTTGCCAAACCCGGATCTCTTGAGTGATCCAATTGCTCTTCTTCCCTCCGCTGTGCGCCCTTCAGCTCTCCGTCGTTGACATCATGGCCAAAGCAGACCCGGAGGCGTTCACCCTTCTCTCTCTGGGTCTCGTCATCATTATTATTCGAATCTACGTGAGATGGACCTCGGTCGGCCCTGCCAACTTCCAGGTGGATGATTACTTGATGCCCTTGGCCGGGGTGAGTGCGAATGAAACCGACTGCTAATTCTGCTAGGAGAGGGGTGCTGACAGTTCAGATATAGCTAGTGTACACTGCTGAAACAGTAGCGGCGTACTTGGTTGGAGCCAAGTTCGGTGGACTCACGAATAGTTACATGACTCCCGAAGAGCGTGCCGCACTTGATCCAAACTCGCGCGAGTATTACGATAGGCAATGGGGCTCCAAAATCCAGGTGATCGGGTGGTCATTCTATGCATGCATCCTATGGCTGGTGAAGGTCTGTGTGGCGGTGTTTTATTCCCGGTTGACGTACGTTTCTGCCTGCTCATGTCTGTTATCACCATGATACTGACAGGTTTAGCACTGGGCTTCAAAACCTACCAGGTCGAGTGCGGTTTGCATATATCCTCCTCGGAGTGACCTATCTTGCTGTGGCATTGTCTATCTTACTTGGATGCCAACCAATGCATAAGTACTGGCAGATTAACCCAGACCCTGGGAGTAAGGATTTGAAGCCCTATTGATCTACTTTCGCCATTCTAACAACTTAGATATCTGTCAACCCACCAAGTCCACGCTTTATGTCCTCATTGTGGTCATTCCAAACGTATTGACCGACCTGTACCTGATGTCTATTCCGCTGCCAGTTCGTCTCCCATTGCCCCAACAAAGGTCACAAAAAGCTCACAATACATCAGCTGCTATGGACAGTCAACATTGGGATTCGGAGAAAGATCACCCTAATGGCTTTATTTAGCGGCGCTTCCTTCGTGATCATGGCCGCTATTATCCGTGCGGTAACCATTATGACCGTACGTCCTACTCTTCCCTCAGACTTACTTTCATTGCTTCCACGGCTAACAAACCCGCCTTAGTCTGGACCAGAAGGTGCAGTCTCCGGTAGTCAATGGGCCTGTCGCGAAACATTCGTCTCCATCGTCGTCGCCAACCTCCCCATCATCCAACCACTAATCCGCCGAGGCGCCCAGAAAGTCGGTCTCAGCGCCCTCTTCAGTTCCACCGGTGGGCCTTCTAGTTACGGCCGACACCGCACACAATCCTTCCCACTATCGAGCCGGAATCAACCCTCTAAACGCTCGCGACACCCGCTTTCGATCCCGAATAATACCACGGCATGGGGCAGTGACGAGCATATCTTAGTGGACGGTTCAGACAAGGGAGCCGGCAAAAATAATGACATCACAGTCACACAAGAGATGATTATCGAAAGTGAGCCGCGTCGTACTGGTCATCATGCAGATGAGGCTCTTCCGTCGCCTAATGCGTGGGATTCAAATAGGGGGCACGCTGTTTAATTTTTCCTGGGGTTGGGTTGGCTTGGTTAAGGATGGAGTTATGGTGTTAGACGTATTCAATGGAAAATTATAAACTATCTCCTTTGTTAATTTATGCTCTACTGAAGTAAAATACCCAAGCTAGAAGCTTCACAAGATTTTGCTCCATGACTCCAAATGCAGGAGTCAACTAGAGCCCACCGAATCCATGTCATTTAATAACAAGCTTTAGACTAAAACAGACGAATGCAAGAAAGGCTTGGCTATGGCCAAGACTAGTGGATGGTTAAATTAACACTCGAAGGATTAATTAATGTAATATATTATATGTATTAATTAATAGGATTCACCCCAACTATAGAACTGGACTTCGGCCCTGTGGGAACTTACTATATTAATACTTACTACGTTCGTGTCGCCGAACTTAAATTCCTTTTGTTTCTGAATTGGAACTATAGCTGGCTTAGTTATAGTAGCTATAGCCATTACAGCGATTATCATATTAAATATGGAGGTTGTTCAATCTGCGTAGGGCTGCCTCAGCCTGGCAGCCTGAGGCTTTTGACTTCGAGGAAATATGCGCTAACCCGAAAGAGGCAAGTACTAAAACCGCATACCCCGCCGGTTGTAATTTCCTAATTAGTGGTCATGGACTTAACAAATCCTCCGAAGAAAAGAAGCCCGTAAGACTCTATTTGTTCTCCGGTATAAACCGCGAATCCCCTAAGACGCACAGTTCCCCTATATTGAGTTGCATTGATCAGCGTATCGTATACTCTAGTTTTACATTGCTGGTATTAGTTCTGCCAAGAACTCCCGGTCGATGACCCGATTCAATTTATCTGCAAGTTAGCCGGTGCCTTGTCAGGAACAGAAGGGTCAAAAGTATTGCAACACCTTTAAGCAGGAATGCGATAATGACTTGCATATGCGTCAGGACGTAGGTAATATAGACGAGGGTGTGGACATTAGCACGTTCAGGCAGCTCTTAGGGTCAATCCTTTCGGCGCGGCCGACAAGGTCGGTAGTTCCCGATGCTTCGGTACGAGCCGAGGGGGGATTCCATGTAAAACTAATAAATAGAAAGGGGGGAAAGTAATTCTCGTCAGATGACCCTGCGCTGCCAGGGTTATAAAAGGGAGAGATGCCTGGAGTAGAAGTTCTTTGCCGGGGAAGAAGCCGCGTGTCATGTAGCGTAAACACTGCTTTTCTCTTCTCTTCTCTTTTGTTTTGTTTTTCCCTTTGGAGGTTATATTATTTTTATTCTGTTTATTCTATGTATTGTAGGATTCTTGGAAAAGGATAAATGAAATTATACTTCTAAGAATATCAATGTCCTAAAGTAACCCGAAATTATGGAGCACAAAGTACGCATTGACCACACTCAGCACATTGCAGATGAGGGAAATCTCCACCCAATTTCCGAAAATTCCTGAAGAGGGAGGGCGTGGGCAGTACAAATTACTCAGTGAACCATATACTGAACTTATGCGTCTGGCGGCGGTCACTCTTAGCGACAGCTTAGGTACAAAGGAGTGTCTGCCAGTCCGTTAAACGGTAACACTAAATTGAGATGTCTTCAATCTGCAGGAGTATCTAGTATAGTCAGTCAGGGGGTTTCTCCCTGGTGATGAAGGGGCAACGAACTCTCCCTCTCGATATACCTCACACCAACAATTATGCCATCCTCATCTTCAAGACCAGCCTGATTACCAAAGACATTCTCGTCGCCCTTGTCAAGGCACGTCAAGCAGGCCGTGGTGAGTTGAGTGTACCGTTCCCCAACAATGCATGGCAACCGCTCCTTTGCCAAAGCAACGAGCGCGCGTTTGATAGCAGAAGCACGGCCTCGAGTGTCTTCATCAGCCAGCGCCTCCGAGATGTCCAGCTGCTCCCAAGGAACCGAGCCACCATTATCATCCTCGCACACAAACGAGCACCATAGTCCAATCTCAAGCAAACAGACACCAAGACTGTACACATCATGCTGCATTTTGTAGTAGTCATCAGGGAGTAGTCCCTGTCTAGAGGGATGGCGGTATATATTCTTCTCCCATTTCGAATCCCCGTAGTTATCCGTTGGTGCATCTGCCGGCCGGATGCGCTCAAAGCCGGTCAGAAAGGACGGACCCAGCCTACTCTCTTCATGGAAGATGATGATGGTCTCGGGGCGGATGTTCTTGTGCACGAAGTCTGCTGTGTGGACAAACATTACTGAGCGGGCGAGCTGTTGCGCCAATTGGATGCGCTGGCCGAGAGGGTACTGTGGTCTAGCACGCAGGAGGTGGCGGAGCGACGCTGGTGGTAATGAGAGGCTAGCTGGGATGTCGAAGATGAATTGGAACTGTGTAGTTGCAGTTCCATCCTGCACTTCGGAAACCTCCATGACGCCGTCGCACTTGAGAAGACCGAATGTCATCGGGTCGACGTTGTGCAGCTTCCGGGCCAGATTGCGGACATAGGGCTTGACCCTTTCCCTGGGCGTGTCTACGGGGTAGTTGGTGCGGTCCAGTAGAACGGCATGGTCGGGTTGGTCAGTGTAATATGACACAAAGGAGTTGGAGTAAGAAACCTGCTCGGCATGCTCTTGTATGATCGTCGCATCTCGAAATATCGATTGTCTGCCTTGATTATTCGGGACAGACAGACTCCCACTCGCTTCTCTCATCTGCGCCAGTCTCCTGGATGCATCGTTTTGAGGAACATCCTGCAGCCTTTCATCCACACTTGAGCTGGCGATCCTCGTGATGAGATACCAGGAAGGATCAAACTTCGCTTGCCAATCTTCCAAATCATCTACGGCCTGTTTGATATGCTTCCGCATATAGAGTCGACGGGTTTCTCCTTTTAGCCGATCAAGAGTGTTTCTACCGTTATCGTCCGCTGCACCACGTGGATATGGACATGTGATAAAGCAACTACATAATACAGGGATGGTAGATCCAGACTCCAGGGATAATTATGGTCGCACTCCATTGTCATACTGCGGGAGTTAACCGAAAAACACAAGGGAACATGAATTATATGTTAGATATGAGACAGTTTTACCGCTTCTACCCTCTGATGCTGCGATAAATGACCGGGAAAAGCAGTCAGCCCTGAAAACACTGCTAGAAACCGAAAAGTTGGACGTTGGTCCAAAGGACCTCGCTGGGCGTACACCACTCATACACTGTCGAAGCTTGGCAGAAGCGACGGGACAATATTCTCAGTGGTAGAACCACTTCTTGCAACTGGGAAGGTCGATATCATGGCAAAGGACAAGAATAGCCGCACGCCACTTTCATACGCTGAAGGGGTTGGAAGAGAGGATCTCAGAAAACTACTCATGGACGCTCTACAGTCAAGCGGGTAAGTCCACGATCTACCGGGGTTGTTGGATATGTTGGTTTATAGAACAACGGCTGACATGGATCGCGGAGTGATCGTAGCTCAACCTTTGGGGTGACCGAAAATTGATAAGTGGATATATGGAAATTCTCTGTTTCAAGATTGTGAGGGAGTCATTTGAATCCAATTCGGCCGCTCGTGGAAGTTCTTGTGAGAAGAGATACTTCACTCTAAGCTTTGCACATTACCTTGCTATTGAAATACCGCGTTTGCTGAGATACACAATGCCCTGATGCCCCATGTGTTTCTCCTCCATCAATCAATCAAGCCATCAAAATTGTGTTGAACCTGTCAGAGCCTATCTATTAAAACGTCCAGCTATGCAGGCGCCTCGCCGGTAACGCAGAAATCTGGTTCCGAACGCCCAATCAACACTCAAACCCACACGTAGAAAAAAATATAATATATGCAAAACTTTTAAATCACAACTCAAGCACTTGCCACAGGGCTTATTCACCCTCCCGCTCTCGTAGCCATCTTCTGTTTCCAGTCTAACATATATCACTGGGTCTGAGTGACCCTCTTAGACACTATTCTGTAGCAACTTAACCTCTTCTCGTAGGTTGGCGCGTTTATCCGGGCTCTGCGTACCCAGCCCTACTTCGCCGGACTGCCTCAGGAACCATACTTAAAGGATAATTTCGGCGATCGCCTACGGGTTAGATAATATAGTAAATATCCCGAATCTGGGGATCACGTTTCCTGACTCCCTGCTATAGAGCCCAGCTTCTCTATAGTCGTATTCTATATCTCCCGCAATAAACCCATATACAGCTGGCACTGAAGAAGTATATAGTTCAGTATCTAGTAATCTTTTACGTCTTAACAATAGTCCGATTTAACAGCCTTAACTTTATATGAGAAAGTATCACAATCCTTCCTCCGTATTCTTTTCGAGGTAGTAATGAATACATGCAGCTTAGAAAGACCTGTGTAGAAATATAGGACCCTCTTATCCAGTACCTAATTAACCGGTGTATTGGCTGTGTGGTCTTATATATCTTCCACGATAGTACTAACTGCTTCTAAACCCGCTGGCGGATCTCTTGCTTAGCTGCTACCACCAACTAGGTCGGCCCATTAAAAACCTCATGCGGGTGTCAATCCCATAAACAGCATTCGTTGGCGAGCAAAATCACGCAGTACTGACAGATCCAAAGGAAGTGCCATATTGGGGTTTTGACCGGCAACCATCTGTTGGCCAAAGTAATCCAGCTTTGTAAACTGGATCACATCGGTGCCGGGAGCGGGAGCAGGGACAGGCTGCGGAAAGATTGGCTAGACCCTTTGTATTAGCTTCGGTATATAGATTCGTGATAGCACAGTTCGTACCTTTTCTTGCATTGTAAGTCCCCCGGCAGGATTTCGTGTCCATACTTCCACCTTACCCTTACATTTATTGCGGACACACTTTGACCACTTCAACAAGATCACTACATTGGTTGTAGCAGATCCATAAAACCATAGATCTTTGTCTGCGTGCAACCGCGGCCATGATTCACTCCATCCACTCTCAATAACAATTGATGGTGGCGAGTATGTAGCTGGACGTAAAAACAAGTCTGGCTCCTTCGACGAATGAAGGTATTGCCCCGTGAAACCATCAAAAGCTATAACCAAGGATTAGTATACTAAGACTGAATTGTAGAGTAAAGAACATACTCGTTCCCACTCCAAAATCCATAAGATACTCTTCGGCCTCGTTCGTCAGCCCTTGCCTTGTCCAGCAAGAAGAAGCATGAAAGAACCATCTGTGGTGCACACCATGGAGTTCGGTCGGCATCACTCGGATCCAAAGAGTCCCTGTGAATGAATTGAAATTTGCTCTGCGTCATGTCAGCTAGATCCACCGTAGGACTGCTTGAATATTATTGTACCTTGCATGTCTCGACTCGAACACACTTGACTCACTGAGTGAGCGACAGATGAGACTACCTTGTTCAGGCGGTATGGATTCGTAAACGAGTTCTGTGAATTCTTTGATAGTGGGGATCTTGTGAACGATCTCGTTGAAGATGGCTTGAGCAGATCGCGTTGGCACTTCATTAGAACCGTTGCTTCGTAGCGTTCGAGTAGGGGATGGTGAGGCCAACTCAAGTGAGTTGAGGGAGCACTCGAGGTTGAAGAAAGATGATGGGTGTCTGACTGCCATCTTGAAGAACAAGAGCAACACCAACGGGGTTTTGCAATATTTACTCTCAAGGAAGGCAGGGAGTTAACAAATGAACAAGTCAAACACCTCGACTGAATCGAGCAGGACCAAGGGACGATTGAGAAGAAAGAAAGGAACTAAAACTGAAAGAGAGACTGCCACTAACTCCAGCAGTATTGAGGGTGGTAAGAGAGACTGCGACTAAATCGAGCAGTATTAAAGGTGACAGAGAAAGAGAAGAGCAGGCGAGAAAGTGAGAGGCAGAAGAAGTGTGAGGAAAGGTGGGTGGGATGGCTGCCTAAGGCATGACGGCTTCCAGATGCACTGGGGACGGTCATCTCTCGTTCATCATGACGACGCAAAATCCTCAATCCGTCATAACTACCTTTGCAGTAAAGTCTGTAGGGAAGAATGACAGTATCATACTTCGCTATGCACTTGTTTCATGGGGTGTCTAGCTATAACCATTTCAACTAGAGTCTAACCAGCTAAAGTGTATATCAAGGGTGGATTTCCGAGCGCGCTAGTCTATAGTCTATTTAATGACCATCTATACCAGAGATACATAAATGAGCTCCATTTCTTTCCCCAATATCGATCAGTATCGCCAAACTATTACGTACTCCATGACATCTGAACGAAGGGTTCCTATGCCGAAACCATGAACCCACTACCGAACTTCCAGAAGACATCAACGACTCCCTAGACTCTACTATAGATGCAGAAATACTATCTAGCCTCCGCTACTCTAATCCTAGGCAAGTAAGCCACCGCCGAATTCGTCGCACCACACGGAGCCGCATAAATAGATTGGCGAAGTACTAGAGACTGCTGAAAGCCTATCTATTCGCCTGAAATACAAGGCTACCTAAGATACCTCCTCCCTCCCGGAAGGATGGATTGGACTAGTACAACGGTGTGAGCCTGATTCCGTCCTGTGGGATTCGGTTGTTGTCCAATATGAGGTGGAAATGGTGCTGGGTAGGTTTGATCTGACGCTTGGGATTGTGATGGACGCGTTGTTTGGTAGGTTCTTTACTCTTTCTTGGTTTTGTGGTGGTCTTTTTGTTCGATGAGGAAGCTGTTCATAGGGCTTTTTCGAATGGTCAATCCTTTTTTTTTTTTTTAAAGAAGGGGGCTTGCATTCCAGAATTTGAGTGTTGTTGTTGGGGACTGGTTCCATGAGTTAGGGGAAGGTTGTATGTTTAGAGCTTCTAGTAAGTATATGCGGTAGACGATTATAAGGCTATACAGCTATCGTAAACATGAATGTAGACATAAAAGTCATGAATCAGTCCGTACATACATATAGATTCCAATCCTCTTCAACATTCTCTCCATATCCACTCCACGAACATGACTCCTCACTCACCCAGTCGACGAAATTATCCCCGGCCCGTCACCGGTCGACGCTTGATGAACATCTCAGGCGGGAACTTATCCCGGTCGTTATGATCTTCGACACATAGACTCTCATTCCTCGGTCCCTCCGCTTCCACGGACGACATCGACTTCCGCCACTCCGATAACACCACGTCCATCTCCATCTTGGCGTCCCCGACAATGGCATCCATCTTGATATCATTCCGGTCGTAGCCGAACGGATCTTCCAGTTGTGATCCGATCCCTTCAATGCCGTATAAGGTGAAAATAACTAGACTGACAATGGGGACAGTCCACCAGCCCAGATCATCGACCATGCCGAAGGGCAGGACACAGCCGAAGAGCGCGAGGACTTGTTTTTGGTGGATCCTGTATTATCATTAATATCCCCTTCCGAGACAGGCTCAGTGAATGAGGGGGTAGAAAGGGAAAAGAAACTCACAAATGCGCAACAGGGATAGGCGTCAACCGAATCATCTCCATCTTCCCCACAGCATCGAACACCGAATTCAACTGTGCCTGCATCTGACTCGCCCCAGGCGCATTATACCAGCCTCTCTCGACACCCCTCTTGATGAAACCATCTACGAAGAAACTTAACTGGAATGGTAGTGCTAGCCCGTCATTCTCATGACCCTCGAGTCCCTTCGGGAGCAGGTTCGCATAGTCGGGGTTATATGCCGCGACTCCGTCCTCCCCGACGTCGTCGCCGAAGGAATAGAAAGCCGCGCCATATTCGGCGCGGAGGTGGTTTTTCACGGCGTAAGGTATGGCCATGAGGATGCGGATGGTGCGTTCGATGTCCTCCTTTTCGTCTTGGCGGAGGGGGCGCGAGGTGCTGTAGCCGTGGGTGAGGATGGTCCGGACCAGGTTGCGAGTGCAAGTTGTTAGGGTTGTGAGGCTGCTGCGGCCGTCCCAGAAGCGGTTGTAGCTGGTTTGGTTGCGGAAGACGAGCATAAGACCCACCACGATCGACAGCGAGGGGATCTGTCCTTCGTGGTTAATTCCATGCTTTTTTGGCGAGCATAATACGAAAAAAAAGAACGCTTACAATGCTACTGGGTAGTCCGACGGTATCGAAGATGTACAGATCTAGACAGACGACAAAGGCCGTGAATAGCGCGTGGAAGAGTACGGGGACGATGATGGCGCCGTGGATGGCGCCTTTGATGAATCGGAAGACTAGAGGCCATCTAGAGAAGTCTTCGATCAGATCCGATCCAAGACCACAGGCGCGGCACGTACCTTCGCGGCTTCTGTCGGTGGGAAAGGAGATGCGGGTGTGTGCCATGCCGGACAAAGGTGTTTTGCCGGCTCAGCACGGGGGTGGATGGGACACTCAAGTTTAATCGCATTTTCCTACTGTCGTTCGAGTGTTGGCGGAATCAAGAATGTGTGTAGTGTCGAAGTGAGTGAAGGGAGGAAATTGGCAAGGGAAGCGGTCCACCAAAACAAAAGAAAGGGTCAGGTTGTTTCGACTAAAGGCCTTGTGAGGGGCATGACCATCCCTCAAGCAAATCACAAGAGACGAAGCTACACACTAACCGTGATAGTTGGTGCCCGCTAATCATAGTCTGGGCATAGTTTAAAAAGTTCCCGCATCCTATCGCCATGTTCGATGCGGTGTCGATCTTGTGTGAGATGACGTCGTGTCAATTCTGGGGTAGTAATTGGATATCTGCGCGAAATTATGTGGAGATCACTGGGAAAGTATAGGCCTATAAACGCTATTCGAAAATCACTGGCTGACCACCGTTCGGTGGCGTGGCGGTCGCAGGAGGATTGGAAGATGGACTCCGGCGAGCCAAGAAAGGAAATTGTTGCTTTAGTAGCTGAGTGGACCAGTGCGGTTCCCACGCACGGTCGCAGTATAATGTTATGTACACACATGCTCAATCAGGCGCTATCAAAATAGAACGGAAAGGAAAGTGTAACAGAAGAACGAATGCTGACGAGGAGACCGTCGAGGGACCACGGGTAAGCCTTAGCTAGGATCGCAGGATGTATACAGATACCAAAACGCCATTAACCAGCCGGCTGAAGTGCACCGTCGGACAGCCAGCGAGGACGGCGCAATGGAGAACCTGGCCAAGCCGACCGAGAGTAGTAACCCGGAGATGCGAAATGGGGGTATAATTTAAAACCAAGGGCAGATGGGTTCCAGATTGCGATGCTAGATATAGAGATAGAAAATAACTATGCTGGGGTGTTCAATTGTAAACGATGCAAGGGGGATTAACGAGAGGAATCATGTGAAAGGCTGCAGAAGAGTCGTTGATGGGACGACTGGTGGCCGTTGACAGAGCGTCTCCCCGCTCAAAAAGGTCAATGCAAGTCATTGCGCATGGAGTCCCATGGCGTTGTATTCCATAGACTTATCCTTCTTCACGACATGCTAGCCCGGCCGTCAAATACCAGAGGACCGGAATCATTGCGTGGCGTCAGCGGGTTGTCTTCGGAGGATTCAGAACGAACGGGTGTATCTGCCCGCAGCTGCGCCTGCCGGCACTGAAGAGCACTGGCCGTAGGAACCGGTATCCCGAAGCTCCCCGTGACAACAGGGGATGGATCGGTCGCACGGGGTGCTTCGTCATCGAGTTCTCTCGATACACTATTGTCATTGAGGTGCATAATCTCGACATCGTGAGTAAGCCCTGCTGTCGCGGGCAGGGAATTTGGCGGGGCATCCACGGATTCTTGTGAGGAGTTGGAGGCCTCAGGATTTGAGTTGTTTTCTAGTTGAGGGGTGCGCGTTTCGGATCGACGGTCCTGAGATGAATCTCTTTGTTCCTCTGTGGAGGCGGGCTTCTGCTCCACCTCCTCGTAATCGTTCGAATCATCCACCTCGGCGCTGAGATCCGTATATGCACGGCAATTCGGGCACTGAAACATCGGGTAATCCGGTGTATGGATGAGGCGACTGACGCATTTGTAGTGCCACACATGGGCACATGCTGCCATGAACAAACACTGGTAAGGTCTCTACACTCGACGTTAACCACCAAATGTCCAGCGTAGGGGAAAGGAATGGGCAAAACAAAAAAAAAGCGGTGAGACAAACCAAGACAGATCCAAGGCAGATGGAGCATTCGCGACACCCAGAATAATCCGCCGTATCGCCTTTACCTAAATTTTTAATTAGGCTCTCGGTGTTTTTACTAGAGCCCTGTTAGCATCGTCCTCTCCGTCCCTCCGTGTATGGACCATACTTGAACTCGTTAGGCTGCTGCTGCCAGGACCGGTTGCATTCGATGCGTATACGAACGCATCGGAAGATCATCTCTTCCCCACCCCTGAAATCAATCCCCAGCTGCACGATATCCCCATCCTTCACTGTGTACAGCCGAGACGCCATGTTAGGCTGACTCAACCGCATGTGGTTCAAAAAGGTTCCCGATGAGCTTCCCACATCCTTAATGTGCCACTGGCCGTTCAGGTACAGAAATTCACAATGTTTTCGACTCACGACCTTGGACTTGAAACCCACAGGCGAATCGGAGGGTTCCGTGGGGTTTGCGACGGGCAAACCGTCTCGCTCAGAGTATCGCCCGACCCGGATGACACTACTCTCCGATGGTAGCGTTCGAGAGATGGGAATAAAGGGTAAGGAAGGTCTCGAATTTCCGTGTGAATCCTGATGAGGGAAAAAACGAATGGTGGCCTTCTGCTTCGGGCGTGACAATGAAGAAGAATTCTCATTGGTAACCGGGTCGGGGCAGTCCAACAACCCATTCTGCAGGTTGGTCGGCGCCGATGCTGGCGTCGTGTCCACCTCCGGTCTCGTATCTGGGGTTTGAGACAACCCTCTCAGCCGCGCCATCCTGCCTTGGGTCTGCGTTCGACGAGGCTCGTGCGACGAAGGGGGGGAGGTTGATGACTCGGAGGAGCGATTCTGGGAACGCAGGTCGAGTTCAAAACCGCGATAGCCTGGAAACAAGGCAGAACTGTAGCGGGCGAGGGTCGATGAAGATGGTTCAGAGTCGGGACATGGGGCCGGGTCATTGGTCCCCACAGGTGGAAGAGCAGATTCGGTACTAGTGGAGGCAGATGATGCGGGAGAAAACCAAGATACTCGACTACTAAAGGTGTGTCGACGGGCGATGCGTTGTTGACTGTTGGTATTAGGGGCTGAAGATGACGACGAGGAGGATTGAGAGGAGAAATGATTTTGGGTATACGCGCGCAGTTGGCTAAGGCGGCGGAGGGGCCCCGAACGAGCGTCTGATGGGAAGTTCGACGAGGCGGAGGCGGAAACGGATGCAGACATTCGGTTGGGTCCAAAATTAATTGGTTGCCTGAGGAGAGGAGAGAGAAAAAAAAAAGAACAAAAAAAAGACAATTATTCACCCGGGCGAAAGGGTTAAAAAAAAAAGGAGGAAAAATAACTTGCAATAATATGAAAAATAAGCCGAATAATGATACTGAATCTATCAGTACAACAAAAATAATAAAAAAGAATAAAATAAAAAGAAAGAAAGAGAGAAAGAAGAAATCAATCAAAATAATGATAATAATAATAATAATAATAATAAATACACTGGGAGCTTCGTCTGATCTGCGCAACCGCCCTATATTGGGATCTCCCTTCAGACAATATCCGATCGGGTCACGAAAGTGGGTTTTCTAGTCAGAAAGTGTGACGTACTACAGGGATCCAAGGGCGAAATCGTAGGGAGTAAATACGGAGTAAGGATAAAATCATAAAAAAGATCAAAGCACGGGTGTGTCGAGGAAGGTTGCAAGAGCTTTAAAAGGATCAAAGCGATGCTCTAGTGATTTGAAAAACAGACACTAGACCAGAAGAGGGGGAGAGGCGACGAAGGCCAGAATAGAAAAGAAAAAAGGGGGGGGAGGGCACAGTTGTTGTTGGCAAAGATGGCAAGTAGCTTAAGTATGCGAGTCAGATGGTAAGATCTGCCCAGTGGGGCATCTGAATGGGATGGTATGGATTAGTAGGTAATTGGTATGCGTGAAGTTGTCTCTATCTGAACGTATGGACCAACCCCCTCAAAATAACAAACACGCGATCTCGTCGGGGAGCAAGAAGTACTATCTATGTTCCTCGTCTCTTTCCTTCAGGATTCGGTATGGAATGGGAATAGAAGGATCTATCAAGGGCTGATTTGGCGGATATCGAAAATAGTTCGTATGCCGCGCAACAACAACAACAATAACAAAACAATCATAATTTAAGATTGTATGGATTATTCTGTTCCCGCAGTAAGCTTCCTTCCGCCGTGGATCATCATGCAGTTGACAGGCCCGGAGTGCATCTGAAGGACGTCCTTGCCGTATCACAGAGTTTGGCGACATTCTTCGTTACTGGAACATGCTGAGATAAGAGTCTTAGTCAGTTTCCCAGAAGAGTTCCGAGTTATTGAACCCATCAGCAAATCTGCAAAACTACACGAAGTCCTTCAAGAGATTGGTGGCAAGTTCTCCGATTTTCGCATTGATCCTTTGATGGCGGGTTGCTAAGACGCTTAAGATATCGTCCTATACTAGACTAGGGCTGCTCCGCAGTTGGTGTCGGGTCTTAATTTGCGGGGCAACACGAGGAAGGGAGAACATGCAACAAGCCATTCCAATCATCGTTCGCAGGTATTTGACCTAAACTCCCGTTGTCTGGAGGTACAGCCTTATTACTTACTTAACATGGCGGCTTCATGTGACCCTCTTGGGTCACCGCCTCACGTGGTAAACGAGCAACATTCAGCAGTGAGATGAGAGCATTTCATGGGCTGAATAAATCAATCATGTCGGTTATATGGGAAAGTAATTACCTGCGTGGATCACTCAATGTGGATGGGTCTCGGTGGAAGTAACTCGTTATGGCATGTTCAACGGTTAGCTGAGATGATGGGTCTCTTTTTTTTTACCAATTAGTTCTTCCGATTCTCCAATACTCCCGAATCCCGAAGCCGACTGACCAGACCGTGGAGACCGCCTTCTGCTTCTTCTTTTTTTTTTTTTTTTTTTTCGCCCCTTTCCCCTCTTGGCTCCAAAGTGGGCTATTATGACGTATTACCACGTCTGGTTAATGTTTATAGGACTCAGTGCTAACCCAAGGACGGAGGTTCCATTGCCGATCGGCAGCGACCAGGCCTGCATCTTATCCAAGCATCTCTCCAAACTACTGTAACTGTAGAATTACCACAAGCTTAAGGAAGCTCAGGCAAACTAAGATTATCTTATAGCAGACAACCCGTTCCACAAGGTACAGTGTCCAAATCAGAATGATAGGTGCATGGGAACCACCCGCGATGGCCAACAGTCCGTTGGTCATTCATCCTTTGTCCGGTGATCATGTCGCATCACTCGTCCGGGGGTGCCTCCGGTGTACAGACGATATTTGGTAAAATAGGCGATATGGGTGAGGGCCGAGGTTGGTGAGAACATCTCTATGCAACTTATATATCTCTATATATTTATATATATTCCATGAAATACTGGTATCATCCGGGAAGTATTAATCAGTCTCCGGACATAGGTCTTTCTCGGTTGGGATGGGCAAGGCATAGGTGGAGAGGTTGTTATGTTATTATTGTCGAGAACTGAGTCAGACGGTCCTCCCCCCCGTGACCGTGAGAATGATTCTCCCAACCCTGAGTGTCATGTCGAACCCTTAAGTTTTGCCGGGTGGATCAGCGGGTAGCCCCATGATTAACCCAGGGAGGGTTATACTTTGCTCATCCATTGTTGGTGGGGGAGGGTTGCCAGGATTGTTTGATGGAGAGATTGTTGTGATGTCCAGTAAATGATCGATATGTAGAATTAGCCTGGGCATTTTCCGAGTGGTGGGTCGATCAAATTGGAATCTGTGATGGAGGACAGACTACGGAGTGCTACTCAGAGATATAAGGTAGCATACAGAGTACATCCTGTACATCCTGTACAGGATCAACAATGACAAACACATTGAAACAGGTGGAGGTATGTCCACATGACCGTACCATACACAAAACGGTTGTTGATATCGATGTGATATACTCCAGTAACCATGAAAGATATAGTTAAACCAAGGAGGAAAAAGCGGAAAAAGACAAAACGAAAATTTGGAATTGAATTAAAAAATGATACAAAATCAATTCAATTATTGACATTCTTGCGGGCAATTGTCCGAAAATCTCAAATATTGTTGTTGTATTGTCGGTGACGGGAACTGATAAAGGGAGAGGAGCTCTTGTCATTTCCCGCGTTATCATTTGCCCACACCTTCACTTCGGACCCGTATTGTCACTCATCACCCGTGCTCCAAGCTAAGGCGCAGGACTAACAGTAACTAAACTCGACCTCACCGTCCGCCATCTCTTTCTGGTCCTCTTCCCAACCACCACCACCAACAACTCCCCCCCTCCCCTCCCTCTTCCTTCATTGTTCGATTCCCTCCATTCTGGGTAAGACCCTGGGGTCTTTTCTCCACTAATCTCGAACTCAGACCGACTGTAATATCGAAGAAAAGTCGCCTGCCTACCACGCGCCATTCTTTGTGCTCCCGCAAGCTTCAATTCCCATCGGGCTATATGCAGAGCCTCCCATCCGTCTCTTTGTCTCGTCACCAACCGATTCCCATCGCATCCCGCATTAATCCATTTGCCTGACCCTGTCTCTCGGTAGAGACCCACAAAGAACCCATCGTTCGAGGTCCTTCCTGGGAACAGGACACTGCCCTGGGACGAAAGGAAGGTTGTCTTTCGCCGGTCGGACTGACAACGTTGGTTTCGTTCCCGTTCGCTTTTAGACTTGTCGCTTGTGGGGCCGGGATCTGGTCTTACAGGCCTGTATAATTTAGAGGCATGAGTGGGATCGCGAGTGCGTGTTTATCCTGTCTCTCGACGGTTGACCGCTGGTGTCATATCACCGCCTGTCTCGGGCCTATCGGCGGTCGCTCGAGGGATGGAATTTACGAGACAACCTTAGCAGATAACGAGCGGGAAGCAGTTTCCGACTTGTTAGGCTACCTTGAAAATGTACGTTCGCTGGATCACCGTCTCCATCAATTGATGTATCCCTGTTTTGATCTCTGGGCGTGATTCTGATCCTAACGCAACCGACCCGATAGAGAGCCGAGACCGACTTCTTCAGAGGTGAACCGCTTAGCGCTTTAAGTACACTGGTATACTCCGATAACGTCGACCTTCAACGAAGTGCCAGTTTGACATTTGCTGAAATCACGGAGAGAGGTGGGTGAATCTCGAGGTTCAATGATCTTCGCACGGCTAACTCCCGCCTTCATCGTAGACGTGCGCGAAGTCGATCGGGATACCCTCGAACCCATCCTCTTCTTGTTACAAAGCTCCGATATTGAAGTGCAACGTGCGGCTAGCGCTGCTCTGGGAAACCTCGCTGTAAATGGTTGGTCTCATTTTCGATGACGGCAACGACGATCGCTGACCAAAATAGCGGATAACAAGGTATTGATTGTCGCCCTCGGAGGGCTGGCCCCTCTAATACGGCAGATGATGTCGCCCAATGTCGAAGTCCAATGCAATGCAGTCGGTTGCATTACGAATCTAGCTACGCATGAGGACAACAAGGCCAAGATCGCTCGGTCGGGTGCGCTGGGACCGTTGATTCGTCTGGCGAAGTCCAAGGATATGCGTGTACAACGGAATGCGACGGGGGCCTTGCTGAACATGACACATTCTGGTGAGTAGACACTGTGGGAGCCTGCGGTTGGTTCGTCATCCTTCTCTGACGGCTGTATAGATGATAACCGACAACAATTGGTCAACGCTGGCGCGATTCCCGTCTTGGTTCAACTGCTTTCTTCCTCCGATGTCGATGTACAATACTATTGCACGACTGCTCTCAGCAACATCGCTGTCGATGCGTCAAACCGAAAACGACTTGCCCAAACCGAGTCCCGATTGGTTCAGTCCCTGGTTCATCTCATGGATTCCTCCACCCCTAAAGTCCAATGCCAGGCCGCGCTGGCTCTTCGCAATCTGGCTTCGGACGAGAAATACCAACTCGAAATCGTGCGCGCCAAAGGCCTTCCCCCGCTCTTGCGCCTCTTGCAGTCCTCTTACCTTCCCCTCATCCTCTCCGCCGTCGCATGCATTCGCAACATCTCTATTCACCCGCTGAACGAATCCCCCATTATCGATGCGGGCTTTCTGAAGCCACTGGTGGACCTGCTTGGCTCGACGGATAATGAAGAGATCCAGTGCCACGCCATTTCCACGCTGCGAAATCTCGCCGCCAGTTCGGACCGTAACAAGGAGCTTGTCCTCCAAGCGGGTGCGGTCCAGAAATGCAAGGACCTGGTCCTGAAGGTTCCCCTCAGCGTCCAGTCGGAGATGACTGCCGCGATCGCTGTTTTGGCCCTCAGTGATGAGCTCAAACCCCACCTTCTGAATCTCGGCGTTTTTGACGTTCTGATCCCTCTGACGGAGTCTGAAAGCATCGAAGTGCAAGGGAATAGTGCTGCGGCCCTGGGCAATCTTTCCTCCAAGGGTAAGTTATGAGCAGTTCTGGATGCGTCCCACATTTGCTAATCTGATATAGTCGGCGATTATTCGATATTTGTTCGAGATTGGGCGGATCCCAATGGAGGGATCCACGGGTATCTCAAGCGGTTCCTCGCCAGCGGCGATCCTACGTTCCAGCACATTGCCATCTGGACTCTCCTCCAACTGTTAGAGTCAGAAGACAAGAGACTCATCAGCTATATTGCCAAATCCGAGGATGTCGTGCAGATGGTCAAGTCGATCTCGGACAAGAACATCGAGTCCGACGAGGAGGATCAGGAAGATGGTGAGGGAGAGGTAATTGCGCTGGCACGACGATGCCTCGAGTTTCTTGGTAACGGTCCCCGACAAACGCTCGTGGAAGC